AGAAAGGATTGTGGAGTTGACTATCCCCTATGGTGGACGCTTTCTTACTTTCCCTTCCCTAACCCCCTACGCCCTGATAAGCTTACCCGCTGGCAAATTAAACAAAAAGGAACTGAGTATCAATACATGCTAAAATACAGATGAACTCTGAAAAACTCTAAACTGCAGTGATGGCTGCATAATTCTGGATACACTAAAGCCACTAAACCGTATACTTCGAATGTGTGAATTGTATTGTATGTAAATCATATCTCAAAAGATTGTTGCGGGCCTGTCCCGTGGCCAAGAGCTGGATTCCGCAAGGCTGAACCCAGTTTAAGTCCTGGCCCAGCAGCTTGAAAATTATGTCTAATATGTATATGTATGCCCCAAATCCTGATAGGATAAAGAAATAGACGAAAAGGGACTGTGGTGTGACCACACCAAACTGGGAGGGTGATTTCTCCTCCTCTTCACTCTTTGATGAGCACATACAACCTCTGGCAATTAAAAATACTGTGTTGTCAAAAAAGTCATGACAGGGGGACCAGCAGTTAGCGTAATGGCTATGTCGCTGGACTCCCACATAGTTGACGGTGATTCGCGTCCCGGATCCAGTGGCTTAAACTCACGCCGGGCGTGTGTGCGTGCGTGCCCAAGATCCCGAGAGGAGAATAGAGGAGAAGGGATTGTGGCGTGACCATCCCCCCTGGGGGGTGATTTCTCACTTTCTGTCTCTCTGTCTCTCTCTATCTGTCTGGCGAGCACACGTGCCCTATAGCAAAAACCTCTCCAAAAAAAAAAAAAAAAAGTCACAACATATTTTTCTATACAAAAATGCATCATCACTTTTTAGATCACCCAGTAATAATAATAATTAAGAAAAAAAAACCCCAAAGGGTCAGTAGATGGCATGGTGGCTAAGGTCCTAGATCCCACATGAATGACTTCATGGTTCAAGTACCAAACCCAGTGACTTGAAAAAAATGCTAGGTGTGTGTGTGTACGCGTCCCCCAAATCTCGAGAGTATGGAAGAGAAGGGATTGCAGCATGGCTGTTCTCTCTGGGGATGATTTCTCACTTTCCCTCTCACTCTGTCTCTGGCAAGTGCACAAGTCCTATGGCAAAAATCTAAAAAAAAAGCAAATGTTAATTCAGTTAGTGAGAACTCTAAAGGAAATCAAGAGCATGACATGGGGGGGGGGCAGCAGATGACATGGTGGTTGAGGGCACTAGGCTCCCACATGGCTGGCCCCAGTTTGAGTCCCAGACCTGGTGGGTTGCTTTCTTGCTTTCTCACTTTCTCTCTCTCTCTCTCCACTTTTCTCTCTCTCTGTCCCTTTCTGGGCAAATTAAAATAAATAAAGTTAAGTAAAATAATTCTTTAAAAAAAAAAAAAGGGCATGATATGGAAAACACATAATTGCCTTACAGAATATCTCAATCAGTGTGGACAGACTTTAGGTAGAAACATGGATGTTAAAGGTGTTATCAGTGAGGGCTCAGGAGGAAATAAGGGATACATCACTGAAAACTTGCAAAAAGGGGATATGGCAGCAGAAAGCTTAGCAGAATTGTCTTGCAGTAACACAGAAAGCAGAACTTAATGGAAGTACAGCCTAGTCTCTTTTTGCTGCTTATAATAAAAGGAAACAGGAAAAAGCTAGGTTGAGGGAAGAACTATTAAAAAAAAAAAAGAGACAGAACTTCATGATCTGAGAAATTCTCAGCATTTCTAGATTGAAAAAGAAATTTAAAAATCTAAAATTAAGAGAAACTGTCAAGAAAGAAAAGGCCAAAGGTCAGAATACTCATGCGATCATATCAAAGGCTCTTACGGGACTAGCAGGTGGCATGGATGGTGGTTAAGGTGCTGGACTCCTGCATGGCCAACCATGTCTCGGGTCCTGGACCTGGCAGCTTGTTTTCTCACTTTCTCCCCCTTTCTCTCTCTCTCTCTGTCTCTGGTCAAATTTAAAAAATAATAATAAAATAATTCCTTTTTTTAAAGAATTATTTAACTTTATTTTAATTTGATCAGAGAGGGACTGAATGAGAGAGAGGGGGAGAGCTGAAAGAAGGAAGAGGAAAGGGAAAAAAAAAAGCCGCTGGGTCCAGAACTCAAACCATGGTCGGCCGTGGAGTCCAGTGCCCTAACCACCATGCCACCTGCCGGCCCTGTAAAATAAAATAAATCTTAAAAAACAAAAAAAAGTTCTTAGATGAGATCAGCCATTTTACTAGTGAGTTAGTAAACCCCTCAACCCTTTAAGTAGAAGCCCAAACAGAAGTGAGATTACTTAGGAAAGATGTATAAAAAGCCTCTCGTCTAAATCTCATGACATACACAGAAGATCCACAATGGGTTTGGTTGTTTGTTTGCTTTAGAGGGTTTTGCCAAGCATGTGTGCTTGCCAGAGAGAGAGAGACACACACACACAGAAAGACAGTGAAAGGTAAAGTGAGAAATCATCCCCAAGGGGGATGGGCACACTGCAATTCCTTCTCCTCCATTCTCCTCCTGGGATCTTGGGCACGCATGCACATGCACCCAGCATGATTTTCAAGCCACCAGGTCAGAAACTCAAACTGCAGATGGCCATATGGGAGTTCAGCGATGTAACCGCTATGCCATCTGCTAGTCCCTTGAGAATGTAATACGGAAATATTCCCAACATGGACTAAAAGTGACAGAAAAAGGTGAAGTGAAATGAAGTTGCCATATCCATAAAATTCCACAAATAAGAGCCTGGCTGAAGGACAGTAGAATAGCAGTACAGTATGATGTTCTGCAAGTTGATTCCACATAGGAAGGTTTCTGATTCAAGTCCAGAAACCTCCCTAAACAAACTAGGCACACACTTGCCATGATGTGGGGCTGGCTGATCATGGTATGCCTAAGGAGCCTATTGGGGTGTGCACTCTTTCTCTCATCTCCCTTATGCAAGAAATAAACAAATGTTTGGGGTGGGGGAGCCAGGCTAGTAAAATTATTCAGCTGCAAAAGTATGTGCGACCTTTCCTAAAAAAAGGAAGAATGGAGAGTACAACTATAAATCCAGAGAGCAAGGCCAATAACCCCAAAGGATCACTCTTACCCCTCAGAACCAGTTTGCCCAGCTGGATTTCAAAACTGCTTCGAACCAGACTTCTTCTTTCATTTTCTTCTTCACTTTTTATATTTGTCAGAGGGTACATGTGCTTGCCAGAGAGAGTGAAAAAAATCACCTCCCCACGGGGCATGGTCATGCAGCAATCCTTTCTCCTCTATTTCTCTATCCTGTCTAGATTTGGGGCCTGCATGCACACGTGCCCAGTGTGTTTTACAAATGGCCAGAGCCAGAAACTGAACTGCAGTCAGTCACATGGGGTCTGGCTCCCTTAAACACTAGGCTAGCGATAGGGCCAGATCTTCCTTTCTTTTTATCCTATGTCTGCCCCACCACTATATTCTGGGATATTTTGGGACCGGGTAACTATTTAGTTTCACAGATGAAGAAAAAATGTGCTTTAGGAAGGATTATGCCCACAGCCTCACCCATACCTGATTTAGATAGTGAGATTTAAATGAAATGTTAAGAATTTAAGTTGATGCTGTAGTAAAAATTTTGGGGCCACACAATGAGAACATATTTTTGCATGTGGGACACACACCATCTTTGGGAGTGAGATGGTGGATTATAGTAGATAGAATGTACTCTTCAAAAGTATCAATGGCTTAATCCCTGAACCTGTGAATATATCTCCTTAAGCCACAAAAGGGACTTTGCAGAAATGATTAAATTAAGGATGGAGAGATTGTCCTGGATTATTGGATGGGGTCCAAATATAGTCACAAGAGTCCTTCAAAGCAGAAGGAGACAGATGAGGTCAGAGTGAAACATAACGAAAAAGACTCTGTTGTTAGTTGCTCTGAAGATGGAGAGAAAATGCCATAAGCCAAGAAATGTGGGTGGCCTCTGGAAGCTGGAAAAGGCAAAGAAATTAATCTTTCATTAGAGCCTCCAGAAAAGAATGGCACCCCTGGGAACACCTTAATTTAAGCTTAGTAAGACATGCATCACACTCCTCATCTACAGAACTACTGGGTCGTCGGTAAAATCATGCCATATTTTTCTATGTTCTTCTATGCACAAATGCATCATGACCTTTCTGATGATCCAATATAAGACAATAAATGTGTGTTATTGTAAGCCACTAAGTCTGTGAAAACTTGTTACAGTAGCAATATAAAACTAACATAAGAGTAATGGGGCTTAGGTTCTGCGATTTGTTGTTAAATAATTCAGACACATTAACAGGTTGGAAATCTACACTAAGATATATGGGAACTCTGTATATTACTTCTGCAACTGTTATGTAAATTGGAAATTATTTCAAAACGTTTTTAAAAAGAATTATTTTATTATTTTTAAAAACTTGACCAGACACAGAGAGAAAGAAAAAGTGAGAAAACAAGCCACCAAGTGTAGGACTCGAACCAAGGTTGGCCATGTGGGAGTCCAGTACCTGAACCACCACACCACCTGCCAGCCCAAAAAACATTTCTTTTTTAATTAATAAAAATTTCCTTGTGATCTACCAGAATTTTCTTTTTTTAAAAAAATTATTTATTTAATTTTATTCATTTATTTTATTTTGACTAGAGAGAGATAGAGAGAGCAAAAGAGAGAAAGTGATAAAGCAAGCCATCAGGTCACAGATTCGAACTATGGTTTGCCATGTGAGAGTGTCCAGCTTCTTAACCACCACACCACCTGCTGGCCCCTCTACCAGAATTTTCTAAGTGGTAGTTTTGATGGCAAAATTACCCTCCTAAGGCTGGAACATAGAACTTAGTCATCTCCGTATTAAAAAGAATTGAGATAACCCTTATGTTATTCCCTCTCCACTGATGGGTTCACCTCATCAACACGGCTGCACTCCCACTGAGTAAAATGAGAGAAATACCAAGGAGGCTCAGGACCAACTCGGAAAGTTTCACCCACTACGTTACAGTCTTTGGCTTCACAGCTCTTACCTGTAAATAGTGATATGGGGAGATAAAGGACGGTTTGAACCTGTGTTCTTATTCCAGAATTGCTCCATCTCTTCTTTGGCTGTGGTTCCTAAAGGAACGGCACTAAAATAAAATCACAAGGTTTTTAAATAATTAAAAGCAAGCTTGATTTAATATTTTGCGTAACAAATTTACTAAAAAAAAATTAGGACAACGTGTTCCTCCATTTACCTTATTTTTAAGCCAAGTTTGATTCAGTTAATAACCTCAACTGCCCAGTAAGGTCCTACCAGAGGCTAACTCTTCTTTCCAGTTCTGCTCAGTACATGAGCACAGCAATGAAACCCCAACTGCTGCTGCTGCTTTTTTTTTTTTTTAAGAAGTACTTATTAAATTTCATTTTTGTTACTATTATTATCTTTAATTTAACCGAAGAGTGACGTAGAAAGAAGGTGGGAGAGAGTGAGAAAGCAAGCCACCAGGTCTGGGATTCAAACCATGGACAACCATGTGAGAGTCTGGCACCTCAACCACCATACCACCTGCTGGCCCACACCAACTTTTTTTTCTTTAATGCCAGAGGACACATGCACTTGCCAGGGATGGAGAGAGAGAGAGAGGGAGGGAGGAAAAAGCGCCCTTCAAAGGGCATGGTCACACTACAATCTCTTCTCCATGTCTCCATATTACAGAGATTTTGGCCACACACACATATGCACCTGAAGTGTTTTTCAAATCAGCAAAGTCAAGATTCAAACCATGGTAGATTTTATGGTATCTGGCTCCCTTAACCACTAAGCCATGGGGCCAGGCCCCAACTTCTATTTTGCAAGCACAGCATTTCAAAACCACTCATATAAATGGATTAGCTTTTACTAAGATATTGGTACTATCTTGTATACTTCTCTTCTGTCAGGTTCTCAAAAATCAAGAATGGAAGGGGCCAGCAAGTGGTGTGGTGGTTAAAGGAGCTGGATTCCCACATGGCCGACCGTAGTTCAAACCCTGGACCTGATGGCTTGCATTATTTCTTTCCCTTCTCTCTGTCTGTCTCTGGTCAAATTAAAAAATAACAACAAATGGAATTAAATAAATACATTCCTTTTTTTAAAAATCAAGAACTGAATTCAGCTGAAAACTTTTGAACAGTTTTGGTTTCCCTGTGCCAGGGTTTCAATGTGTCCCCCAAAGTTAATGTGTTGAAAAGTCAATCCTGATGGAACAACACTGAGGGATGGGCCTGATGGGATGAGTTCAGGCATGAAGGCAGTCCTCATAGATGGATTACTGTTACTATCACAGAGTGTGTTTCTATACAACAGTGAGTCTGTTATAAAAGTGAGTATGGCTCTTGTCACATATGCTCTCTTGCCCTTCCATCTTCCTCCACAGGGGTGGCACAGATGCCAGCCCTTTGATACTGGCATTTCCAGCCTCTATAGCAATAGGTCAAATAAAATGTCCTAACATATCCTGCAGAGGGATGGGTTGAGACCAACTGTCACACAACTAAAACGTTCAGTTAACATAAATAATACAAGGTAAAAAAAATCAGCTCCCTTAAATGCTAGACCACAAGGCCGACCCTCTAACGTTAATAAGACATAAAATAATAATAAAGAGTAAAAAACAATAATAATAATAGATATAATAACACAAAGGCAACTGTTGAAGTATAGACTAGAAACACATAAATAGCAGGAAGAAATATATTTATATGAAGTCCTAGAAGGTACTCAAAATTAAAGACAGTACAAAAAAATAAGTATTAAGGAAAGAAAGACAAAATAGAGAAGAAAAAAAACAGAGTTAGATGTCAAAGAAAGAATCAAGAAGTCAGAACACAACGATAAAGTTAAATGCAGGGGTCCTCAAAAATTTCATGTAAAATGTACATTATGTAAAAGTTATGTGTGGATTTGGGACCAGCAGATGGTGACATCAATGGATTCTCACATGGTCAACCGTGGTTTGAATCCCAGACTGGGTGGCTTCAAACTCACGCTGGGTGTGTGTATGTGCATGCGCAAAACCCCATGAGGAGATTGGAAGAGAAGGGATTGCAGCGCAGCCATCTCCGGGGGAGGGGGAGTGAGTTCTCACTTCCTCTCTCGATTTGTCTCTCCAGCAAGCACACTTGCTTTATACCAAAAATCGTTCTTTAAGAAAAAAAAAAAAAAAAAAAAAAGAAACCACAAAGAAAGAAAGAAAAGCTATGTGGGGATTTAAAAAAATTTTCAGGGACCACCAGATGGCGTAATGATTACATTGCTGAACTCTCATATAGTCAACCATGGTTCAAGTCCTCGACCCGACCACTTAAAACACACCAGGCGGATGTGCATGCATGCTCAAATCCTAACAGGAGAATTGAGAAGGCACTGCAGCCTGGCCTTCCCCCGTGGGGGGTTATTTCTTGCTTTCTGTCTCTCTGTCTCTGTCTCTCCAGCAAGCATACGTGCTCTATAGAAAAAAATCTCTAAGATGCTGGCAGGTGGCGTGGCAGATAAAGGTAGATTACCCTTGTGGCCAATCATGGTTCAAGTCCTGGACCTGGTGGTTTGCTTTTTCACTTTCCCTTTCTCTCTCTCTCTCTCTGGTCAAGTTAAAAAATAATAATGGAGTTAGGTAAATAAATAATTCTATTTTTTAATTGTTCTTAAAAATTATTTTATTTAACTTTATTTATTTATTTACTTAAATTTGACCACAGAGGGACAGAGTGACAGTGAGAGAGAGGGAAAGCAAATTGCCAGGTCTGGGACTCAAGTCCAGCACCCTTCACCACACACCTGCCAGCCCCCAATAAATATTTTTTTTAAATAATCATTTAATTTTATTTATTCATTCATTTATTTTTCATTTGATCAGAGAGAGAGGGAAAGTGAGAAAGCAAACCACCAGGTCCGGCACTTGAACCATGGTCAGCCATGTGGGACTGCCCAGTGCCTTAATTACACGCCACGTGCTGCTGCCCCCAATAAATAATTCCTAAAAGAGAACAAAAGAAAAGAAAAAATCTCTAAAAAATTAAAAATTTTTTGTACCAAAATAAACTCATACTTTCACCTAATTTTTCCTTAGACTTTCAAAAGTCCTTTATACTGCAGAAAGCTTAAAATGAATAAAATTAAGAGAAGACTAAAGGGGGACCGGCAGTTGGCATAATGGCTATGTTGCTGGACTCCCATGTAGTTGACCGTGGTTTAAGTACCGGACCCGGAGGCTTAAACTCACGCTGGGCGCGTGTGTGCATGCCCAAGATCCTGAGAAGAGAATGGAGGAGAAGTGATTGTGGCGTGGCCATAACCCTGGGGGGTGATTTCTCGCTTTCTGTCTCTCTGTCTCTCTTTTTGGTGAGCGCACGCGTCCTATAGCAAAAAGCCTCTCAAAAAAAAAAAAAAAAAAAAAAAAAAAAAAAAAAAAAAAAACCTTTTTACTTGGTTTTTTTTAAGAAAAATCAAA